GGACACACTGACAAAGGAGATTAATCAGAACTGGCTTTGACAAGCACTGTGGCAATTGGACAATTAAAACAGACATTCGGGGGCGGGGAAGAAAATCAAACTGGGGACAGGGGTAGAGAAAACAATGCAACAATGAATGAATGAGAAACCAAAATCTTTGTAAATGTTCATTAAAACTAATTTAATAATAATTAAAAAAAACAATGAGATATGGTCTCAATAAACCTTCATTGGTTTTTTTCAGTGACTGTACTCCCTCTTTTGTTACAGTTATGTGTTTTCTCTTAAGTTCTATTGGATATTAAACTCTTTAAAGACGAGACTATGCCGTCTCTTGTAGCACCTAGTGCAACTCTCTGCATTTCCCAAAAACTTGATAGTTTCTCCCTGAATTTCACTTGAGTTTCTCAAGTGCTGCTTGATGCATGACACTCCAGTAGCATAGAGCTGAAAAAACAGTGAGAAAGTTCATAATTTCAGAAAGAGTTGTTCATTATTGTTGTTCGTTGCCATCAAGTTAGAACTGACTCATAGCTGTCCCTCCTGTGAATTTTCAGAGGCAGTAAATTACACAGGTGGTGATTGTCCATCTTTCTCCTGTGGAGTAACTGGTGTACCCAAAACATGTACCCTTGGATTAGCAGCACAGCTCCTTACGTAACAATAGGCTACCAGAGATGAACTAAATCCACATACTAATAGAAGTATGAGATGTTACAAACAGCTCTTTTTAAAACATGTTCCTTTTTCAGCTTATTTTGTTATTTTTCAGGTGCCTTGGTGGATCAGGCAGTCTTTGAAGAACTTATCAGGGATCAACTTCCTCAGCTAACTGAACACATGACCGATATGACCTTCTTTTCTTCAGTTTCTCTCTCATGGTTTCTCACACTTTTTATTAGTGTGCTACCTATTGAGAGTGCAGTGAATGTGGTAGATTGTTTTTTCTACGATGGAATAAAGGCCATTTTACAACTGGGACTGGCAATCCTTGACTATAATTTAGACAAATTGCTGGAATGTAAAGATGATGTGGAAGCTGTGACAGCTTTAAACAGGTACCTGCAAGAACTGTAGCATTAAATCTGGAAAGGATCTGAGAGATTGTTTTAAGTCCTTTGTTTGAAGATAAGAAAACTGAACCCTAGAAATTTCAAACAGTTTTCCCAAGGTCACAAAGCTAGTTAAATGGAAGAGCAAAATCTAAAGCCTAGTTTTTTGTCTTCAAATAGAATACAGTAAAACAAAAGTATATAATTTGAAAATTAATCACAAAGCTCTTTTTTACATGTTGTACTAATAGTATTGATTGAACATGGTGGTATCTTCATAGTTCCAGTCTGAGCGATAAAATGTCTCTAGAAAATTCTTTGAGAGGGTAAAGGAGATTGATCATGTGAAATGTTCAGTAGGGGAAATTGTTCTGGTTTCCAAGTGATTTCAATCAGATTAGACTTCAATTTCTTAGTAGGTTCTTTTGTTTAGTTTGCTTTTATAAATACAGTTTTATGTTGGAGCACATGAGCTCTCTGTGTGTGTGCGAGCATGCATATGTTAAAGGAATTAATATTTGAATGCATGATAATTATAATAGTGTACCAGATCTCATCATGTACAGAACAAAAATGCAAATTCCTCACTCACATTTGGTACCCTCTGTGATAAAGCCTTTTTTAATGTGCCTTTCTTAATTTTTTTTTCTCTATGTCGTTGTTATTGTGTGCTGTTGAGTCAGAACCAAACCATAACTGACCCTCTGGTGGGTTTTCAGAGGCAATGAATCACATGGGAAGAGATTGCCCATCCTTCTCCCACAGAGGAGAGGGTTGATTTGAGCCACATGCCTTTGGGATTGCAGCGCAGCTTCCTGTCACTAGGCCACCGGTGCTCGTTATGCACCTGTATATATTGTATATTTTCTCCATACGCACCTCTTTCTACTGCATATTTTCTCCATATGCACCTCTGTATACTGTATATTTTGTTCCTACTGGGCTGTGCGACATTCACGAAGTCCACACAGAACCTGTTTGCTTCCCTCAAGTCCACACCCCCCCTTTCTGATATTATTTCTTTGCTACTCCATCCCCCATCACCTTTGTCTTCCTAATTCCTAATATCCTCAAATTGCATTTCTCCAGAAGTCATCCCCTTGGCTCACTTGCCTTTTCAGTTTAAACTAACCACTGACTTACTAGGGGAATAATTCACTGGCCTTTTCTCTGCCTTAATAACTTTTGTTACACTAATTAGCAATCTCTCTCTCTTTTTTTTTTTTTTTTTTGGCTAGGTTCTTTGACAGTGTCACAAATAAAGATAGCCCACTGCCTTCAAGTGTTCAGCAAGGTTCAGCTATGAGTGCTGAAAAAAGTGGTCATATTGGAGTGGATATTACAGAGTTGATTAAAGAGTCAAATGAGGTAAGTTTTAGGAGAGAGGTTTGTATTATAAATACCTAAACCCCACTCCAAACCCACTGTCATTGAGTCCCTGTAGAACAGAGTATACCTACTTCATAGGTTTTCTATAGACTTATTAAATTTTTAAGGAATCAACTATCACCTCTTTCTCCCCCTGAAGCATCTGGTAAGTTTGAACCACTGATACTTCGGTTATCAACTGAGTGCTTAACTGTATCATTTATAAATAAAACTCAAAACTCACTACTACTGTCAAGCTGATTGTGACTCATAGTGACCTACCAAATTTCAGAGGCTATGGATCACAAAGGGAAAAGGACTACACACTTTCCTCTCATGGAGCCACTAGTGGATTTGAACAACCAGAGACATGCAGCCTTTGGGTTAGCAATACAACTAGCCATGAATTACATTACCAGAGCCTATTTTAAGTCACTGACTCAGTAACTGGGGTCATAGGGTAGGTAAGTGTGTCAGAAATGGTGACACTGCCTCAGGAATGGGAAGGCTTCAGGGCTATATTACAAATAGGCCGCTATGAGTTGCAGGCAACTTGACAACACATAACAACAACTGTTGTCACATCTGTAATGAGATATTAAAAGTGAGATAATTATGTAAGATACAACTTAGACTCTAACTTGATTGAGTGCTATGAGATGCTCCTACACTTTGTAAACGCCTCAGCCTGAATTTTCATGATATAAAACTTACATTAGCTTGCTTTTACAAATAATGACAACTTTTAAATACCTCTCGGTATATAAAAAGGGACAAATGATTCTCAGAGTCTAAGAATTTCACCAGTGTTCTTGTACTTAATCCAGACATGTAGTAGATGGAATTCTCTCCAGTGAATATATAGAAAAGCTGAAGCGTAGGAGGTGAAAATTTGCATAATCACCTAACAAGTCAAGAAAATAGCTAGAAATAGAACCAAAGCCTCTGAGAATGGAGTCTGATGAAATCCAGCCATAATAAGACAAGGAAATGTTTATTGTGAATGAATATCCACTGCAATCATCTTTCTTTCAGAAATATGGTAATATTCGCTATGAGGATATATACAGCATGCGCTGTCGAAATAGGCTGTATGTGATACAGACTCTAGAGGAAACAACAAAGCAGAATGTGGTGAGTATCCATCCAATGGGAAATCCAGTTGGGATAACATATTTTCCCTCAACTTCCTTAGAAATGGTATTGTATCTGTGAGGAAAAATGAACTTGCCAAGGCTTAGTGTACTGTAAATGACTCAAGAGGGAATAAGTTCTCTTTCTTCTGATTGCCAGTGCTAGTGACTCTAGTATATTCTGTGGTATTTGACCTTCAGAGCTATTGCAGCTCAGTATCAAATGCTGTGATGTAGGTGTTTAAGCATAAGCTATTGTCAGTGTGCTTCATTAATAACTACTGACCCACATAGCATTCAATAGTACTAATAAATATTTTTATTGATGGCTACCTAAAATAAAGAGAAAAGGCTATCAAGTATTTTTTTAAATACAGGTAAACATCTGTTAATATCTGTTCGAGTAATGTCCTGGTACATATATGTTCCTGATCCTATAAGGTTTTCTTCCTTTTGTCTTTTTTTTAAGGGAAAGTTGTTGTTGCTGTTGTTGATTGCTGTAGAGTCGAGCATGACTCTTAGCCACCTTCTATAACTGTCGACATTTATCAAAGTTCATTGTTTCTGGAAGCATGTTGTTTAGGAAGTGGATGCCACTGCTGCTTTCTAAGGGAAAGTAGTCTCCTTTTATTATTTTTCTAATTATTTTTTAAAAAAATAACAAATGATGGCTAACTTTGAAAAGATTGGAATCCCAGAACATTTAATTATGCTCATACAAAACCTATACCTAGACCAAGAAGCTGTTGTCCAAACAGAGTGAAGGGACGACACACTGCATGGTTTAAAATCAAGAAAGGTGTGCATCAGGGCTTTATCCTTTCTCTGTAAATAGTCTATCTGTATGCTGAACAAATCATTCAAGAAGCTGGACTTTATGAAGAAGAATGTGGCATCAAGATTCAAATTAGTTATTAATAGCCTGCATTATGCAGATGACACAGATTTGCTGGTTGAAAGGGAAAGTCTTGAGGCATTTGCTGCAAAAGATCAAAGACTTCAGCCTTCAATATGAATTACATCTCAACTTCAAGAAAACAAAAATTCTTGCTACTGGATCAATAGGCAACATAGATGGAGAAAAGATTGAAATTGTTAATGCTTTCATCTTACTTGGATCCATAATCAACATCCCTGGTACCAGGAGATGCATAGCTTTATGAAAGTCTGCAGTTAGGGACCTCTCCAAATTATTGAGGAGTAATGATGTCAGTTGAAAGACTAAGGTGCACCTCTCAGTCACTTGCTGTGCACCTAGAGTTGGACAATGAATATGGATAACAGAAGAATCAATGCCTTTGAGTTGTAATGTTGGAGAAGAGTCCTGAATATACCATAGCCTCTCAAAAGAACAGATATGTCTTGGAGAAAGTCCGGCCAGAATGTTCCTTGAAGGCAATGATAGCTAAGCTTCATCTCACATACTTTGGGCGAGTTGTTGGGAGAGGTTATTCCTTGGAAAGGGGCATCATCCTTGGAGAGGTAGAGGGTCAGTGAAAGAGAGGAAGACCCTCAAAGAGACAGATTGACATAATTACTGCAGCAACAGGTTAAAGTGTGTCAGGTATGATAAGGATGGTGCAGGATAGGACAGACTTCTAGATGAATTATTCATAGGGCTTCAGTGAGTCATACTTGAATCAAGAGCACCTAACAGTAACAATTTTAAGGGCATTCTGGCAGCTTATTGTTGAGGAATTGTACTACCAACCAAAAGGCAAGCAGTTCAAATATACCAACTCTGAGGAAGAAAGATGGACAACTTCCATGAGATTTACTGCCTTTGAAAACCCACTGACTAAAGGATCAGATATGGGTCAGTTTTGACTCAAAGGTTCTCAGCAACACCACCAACTGGTAGTCTAGTGATAAAGAGTTGTGCTGCCAACACAAAGGCAGCAGTTTGACTCCACCACCTACTCTAGGGAAGAATGATGGGCAATTTTGCATGAATTTACATTACAGTCTCTGTAAACCTGCTAGAGGGTCACCTATGAGTCAGTTCTGACTCAATGGCACACGAAAAAACAATGATTCTAAATACTCCAAACCTAAATTCTTGCAGCACTGGACCATGAGTAAGATATAGACAAGTGAGACAGAGAACATGGCTCTGGACAGTGACTCTCAGGCTTTGTCCCAGAGGACAAGTGGGAGAAACATCTACTTAGTGGTGCGGGGTGTGCTGTGCTTCCAGTCATCTCACTTGCTCTCACTTTCTATCTGCAGCACCCCACTCAGCCACTTTTTTGCAGGCCTCTGTCAGAAGTTCTAACAACAAGGGGCAGCAGCAACAAAGTATGTTAGACGAAGCTTCAGAATCCTTGACTCCAAGGAGCATTCCAGCTTCACCCTTCTCCAGGACAAACGTGTTTATTCTCCTAGCAGTCCGTGGTATATTCAACACTCTTCTCCAGCACCACAGCTCAAAGTGTATATGCATTTAATGATTTTCACTAGCTTCTTTGAAGAATTCTAGCAGTGGGCTCCCAAAACATTTAATGTGTGGACACAACAGCCAAATCACATAAAATCCTATTTCACTGAACTTGTCACGAATGTTATCATAGAAGAATGATGGATGGTTTTCTCCCCATTATGATTTATAGCCTTAGAAACCTCAGGGAATGTAGCCATGAGCCAAAACTGATTCAATAGCAGTGAGTTTGAGGGTTTTTTTCTACGTCATAGATGTTGTGACACATACTTGGATTTTCTTTTTAATGTTTGGAGGGACACATGTTTGTGTTGTTAGGCACTGTTGAGTCCAAGTGTGACTCATAGTGACACTATGAACAACAGATCTAAACCTTGTCTTGTCCTGTGCAGTGCTCACAATCTCAGACACACTCAAGACCATTGCTGCAGTCACTGGGTCAAGCCACCTGGTGGAGGGTCTTTGTCTTCTTCGCTATCCCCTCACCTTTCCAAGTATAATGTCCCTCTCCAAGGAATAGGCTTTTGTAGCCACATTTCCATAGGATGGACACATAAGAAGCTGTTAATATCTCTTGCCTCTGGTGAATCTATACCGTTTGTACTTTTTAACATGATCATATATTACTTTTGTAATTTCGAAAAGAATTTGTTTCCATACCTGAATGATTTGCAAAGTAAAGTGTTCTAAAAACATAATACAATCACTTTGTGAAATTATATCTTACTTGTTAACGACTTTAATTTACTTGGCTCCATAATCAAAACGCTTGGTACCAGCAGCCAGGAAATTAAAAGACTGATTTCATTGGGAAAGTCTGCTGTCTGAGACCTCTTCAAAGTACTGAAGAAATACGATGTCAGTCTGGAGACTAAGGTGTGCCTGATCTAGGTCATAGTCTTTGCCATCACTTGCTATACATCAGAAAGCTGGGGGATGATAGAAGGAGAATTGATGCCTTTGAACTGTGGTGCTGAGTATTGAATATACCATGGACTGCTAGGAGAACAAACAGGTTCATCCTAGAGAGGTTGAGACCAGGCTGCTCCTTGGAGACAAGGATTCTGAGGCTTCATTTTACTTACTTTGGACATGTTGCAAGGAGGAACCAGTCCTTGGAGAGGGACATCATGCTTGGGAGTGTGTAGGAACAGTTCAAGAGAAGAAGACTCTTGATGATATGGATTGATTCGGATACTAGGGTAATGTGGATAGGTGTGTCAGAGACAACAGTGTTGGCACAGGATAGAACAGGGTTCAGGGCTATTGTACATAGGGTTGCTGTGAGTTGCAGGCGACTCAGTGGCACATGAACAGCAACAACTTGCTAAAAGGCTGTGTCCTCATGCTCAGAGACTTTTAAACCTTGGAAAAGTAACATTTCTGAAGAACTTAGGTTTATTATGCAATTAAATAATTTAGCAATGTCACTGTGACAAGGCATAAAGCTCCTTTGTCTCTTGTCTTGGTTTTCTTATATTGGGGGGGGAATTGCTAAAGTAATAAATTATCATTGTTAATAATTCAGACATCGAACTATAAAAAGTTAATGTCTCTATTCTAGGAGTCACCATTACTAAAAATAATTTCACATATGTCCTTCCATATTTTGTGTCCATACATCTGCAGATGTGTGTCTTTTGAGGAGTGGGCTGAAGGGTAGTTAAAGTTTTTAAAATGAGATTGTGCTGTCCACTTTGTTCTGCAGTTTATTTTTTTCACTTAGAAATAGATCATGGTCATTGTAGATCTGTATTGCCTCCCTCTTTCTTTTTTTATCCAAAAAGACTCAAATATTTACTGTATGGCAATTCTCAGAAAAAGTTTGCCAAATCATATTTTCCCTAAAAATGCTTTATCTTTTTCCTTTATTAAACTTAGAATACTTTCTAATTAAATAAGTAATGAAGATAAGTGTGTCAGAGACAATGAGATTGACTGAGGATAGAGCAGGGTTCGGAGCTATTGTGCCTAAGGTCACTATAAATCACAAACAATGGCACATAACAACAACAAAAATTTGAATGTTTACTTGTCTCCCTGGAATGCCAGCTCTATGTTAAAAGGGATTTTTTTTTGTTTATTTAGTATAACCCAGTTTCCAGGTATGTAGACTGAATCAGTCAGTATTCCATGAATGAACCCGAGTTCAACCTGGTTTCTTTGGGGTTTGGGGTTTTTTTTTTTATTTTAATTGAGATTTTAATGAAAGTTTATAGAGAACTTGGATTTACATTCATTCATTGTTGCACATTGTCCTCCCTGCCAACCCAGTTCACTTTTCTCTTTTTTTTTTTTTAAAAAAAAAATTCTTTC